AACAAATTTCACAGCAGACAAGTGGTACAGCATACATATATACACAAGTAGTACATAGCAATCCAAGGCAGCCTATTGCTGCCTATTACAAATTATCATGAAACAACGCATGATTTTTTTTTTTTTTCATTTTTGCAGATGCAAAAGCTGTACAAGAAATTACTGAATCTTCCTTTCATCTTTCACCTAATGTGTTGGCAAAGCACTTGGATACAATGCAATATCTTTTAACATTAAATACATGAGTGCATGTATACCGTACAATGTAACTCAAAAGATCACAAGCTTCAAACATTTGACATCCTCTGGTGGTAAAGGAAGGTGAGTGGGAGGAGGGTCGAAGGGTGCGCAGCCATGAGTCTAAAATCTGGAAGCACTTTCCATCGGTCAAATGAACTTTTTTTTTTTTTTTTGACAGGAGCTTAATCCTTGAAAAAAACACAGTACAAAAAAACAAACTGACAGAAAACAAAGAAACAATTGAACCATACACCATAATCTATATATTGCTAGGGATCATGGAGCCCAAGTATGTCTACCAGGTTGCATTCAGATAACCTGCGGTAGAATACTTGCATTGTTTCTTTTATAGAGAGGAAGTGTTACAAACAACAGTCAGTTAGCTCTGAGATGAGCGAGTGATGCCATAGTCTGTCATTAATCAGGAGAGATTGAGTAAATGCACTCTAAGCTGATGATCCAAAACGGTCTTAGCATTCTCACTGTTTTGGATGTTTAAGCATCAGTTAGGTGTACTCAGTTTCTCCTGATTGAAGGCTTTTGGTCCTGTTTCGTACCACAAACTTGTGGACGTTGTCTGGAAGATATAATTAGTGTATCACCTCCTGTTTCATGTATGTATGTGCATGTATGTTTGTGCATGTGTTCAAGTATTTACATTGTCCACAACAGAGGCATAACTGTGGCTCATCAGAGGCTTTTTCAGTCTAATTTATTCAGCTTAACCAACTGCTTTTTTTCAGACAATCCTTTGCCTGAAGGGAGAAATGAAGTCCATCCAGCATTGAAGAAAAAAAAAATCCTGCATCCAGGATGCCCGACCACAGGGAAATTAACACTAAAAGGTGTTTTCCAGCACATCAGCATAATTGTGTCTTGTGATTGTGGCACATCTGATGTGGATCTCCCAAAGAGCAAGAGGATATTCAAGAATCAGCCTTTCACAGTGCTCGTTCAAACTCTGTCAGCCAATCACTGAGAGCCATGCCAGCCAACACAATTTGAGGAAAGTTGTGAAGAAGTTGTTAGTCTCTGTAAGTTCGCTGGTAGCCTGTCCTCAGGCCCTGTCTGTCCCGAAGGACTTACTGTAGACTCCTGTAAATCCTGGAGCCAGTGTTGCCATTGTGTTAAACCTCCAGTGCTGTTTGTTAAGTCAGCAAGTGTTATGAATGGGTCCTGTTACTCCAGGACCCAAACACAAGAATAACAATGTTGAAATTGTGCGATTCAGAGCAAAGACCATCTCCCCCTCTTTCAGCTACAGTCACACAATGCTTTTGAAAACTGGTTGTTTGAGTACATCAGAGAGATAAAACCCAGAATTAGAATGTTTTTAGACAACCCAGACAAATACGAATGAAAAACAACCATCGCCATATCAGCTGTGTCCATGCAACCCCATTTCTTTTTTTCTGTCTCCTCTCCTTCATCTGCTCCCAAGCCCTCTACAGAGCCAATTCTTTTGCTCAGCTCTCCCTTTGGTTTACCACCCGCACCCTCATTAGCATCCACCCTAAACTCCAAGGAGGGCTCCAGATAGACAGACAGACAGACAGAGAGATAAGGATAGGGTGAGGACAGTTGGGCGTTTATTGCTTTACAGACGCATATTGCTTGTTTACTCGCTGTCATTCCTCGTTTGTTCTCAACCTCTAATGCATTCCGAGTGATTAAGGACAGACCCCACAGAATATTTTGGTAGGGGTTTTGGAGACCAGAAAACTTTTCATATGAAGTGACCCACTTAAAGTGTGGCACCTCATGGGAATAAAAGTCAAAGAGACGGGGAAGCCATGGAGAAGAAACCTGTTGTAACATGGTATGTTACATACTGTGCAATGCTGGCGACAGCATAGGCGCAGATGTGTCTGATGCATATTCACACTATGCATATCCCATTGATGCTTTTGTATTCATGATCCCCATTCTTTGCTGATCCCTTATTACAAAAGCATGCCAGCAGCTCCGAGCACCACTCCAACAGCTTGCCTTACAGGTTTTTCTCATCGTGGAGAGGTAAAGTAGAGAAGCCATTGCAGCGTTAAGAACAAGCATTATATTGCTAATTTATTCTCTCTCGTTAAAGTTTTACTCCGACGCTCATTTTATTTGCCTGTGTACACTCGCAGCGCCATAAAATTGAGATGCAAATTGGGGAATTTGGCTGACTGACATTTCTGCTTGGAAGAAAAGTCCTTGGATTCAAAAATTAAAATTGCTTTTACATGAAATCCACTAAGTTCAGTTTTAAAGTAGCAGGTTGTCGCCAGCAAATCTCCTGATGTGAATAATATATTACAATGCATCTGGTCATTCATTCTGTGTTTGTGGATGCTAGTTTCTTTTTCAGTGTGAGTGTAATGGTTGAGTGTATATGGGAGTAAATCTGGAGTCTGCCATGCTTTGACTGACTCTCATTAATTATTGCTCTTTCCCCTCACATACACATGCCAAGAGGATCCAGTGAAAATATCATGGTTTACAACAGCTTGGAGCACTTGGTACCAAACACCAGACAAGTGCTTGGTATCCATCGCTCAACCTTTCATGGTCATGATTGCACAGAGGGAGGTCTGCTAGGGAGCAGAAAAAGGGAGTAGGAGAAACTGAAAAGGGACAGAAAGAGAGAGGGAGTGAGAGAAAGTGCTAAATAGCTTGTGACTCTGGTAAGAGCTGCTGTTTGATTAGGTTCCACCACCTGTCTAATGTGCTATAGCATGTGCCAGGCATATGCACTGCGGCATAGCTGGTGTCCTCATGATAACAAATGAAGGTGAATTCAATCAGTGAGTCAGACTGGCTGTTGGACTGTTCTGTATGGTGGAGAAGGAGGTAAGAGATTTTGAGGTCTGAAAGCAATATTGAATTTGTTGACTAAAGCCATAACTGGCATTGGAAAAGCACGTTAAAAAATATATAATGTAATATATTACTAATTGAAAAAGAAATTATTGTACCAGTTACTCGTCCGCAAAAGTAATTAGTTGCATAACTCATTAGGTTTCTTTTGTCACTTAGCACAGATCCATCAAAGGTGCCTTTTAAGAGAAATTCTAGTATATTTATAATTTCCGTATTTCCCATAAATGCGGTTACTTAGGCCTAATGTGACTTAACAGATCATGCTAACTTTGCATTTACAACTTTTGTTAAGAGTTTTGGGGAAACAAGGGACTTGCGCAATGCTTTTTTTTTGCTTTGATCACTTCAAACACTGTGTTTGACACAGTGTTTGACAGAAAGCAGCCATTGAACAGCCATTATGGATAACTGCATAGCAAATCGACATCTAGGGTAACTTGTCAGCTGACCTAATCACCCTGCATAGTCATTTGTGTGTGAGGCGGACTTTCACTACAGTTATACTGTCGTCTAAGGAAACTCAAAAAGCTAAATGCAATGGTGGATTATCTTGTGGACTATTATGAAGGAGATCGCAAGTCATTTGATGGTTGACCTAATTTATTGGAACTAGACAAGGAGCTAAATCAAATGGACGAGGAAAGACGAAGAATGGGCACCAGGGCATTCCCGATCATTGCTCTCACAATTTATGTACGTAACAAGGTAGAGATAAAAAACAACTGGTCACAAATAGGCTTAACAAATAACCAGTCTATGGTTTGGAGGTATTCACTTACCATCAACAGCTAACCTAACTTTAGCCTACCAGTGGCTAATGTTATCAAGCCAGCAAAGAAGACACAATATTAATATATGACAACAAGACGACATGTTAGTTAGTGGGTGGCAAATTTCTTCTTTTTTGGTATAGCGGCTTTCAAGCCTCACATCTCAAGCTCCCACACTGAGCTAACGCTCCCGGAGCTCTGTCCATTGAACGCAGAGGGACCAAACTGATATCAGATCTCCATGAAACTCCCCTTATGAGAGCGAGTCAACCCCAAATTGTTAAAGTATAAAGCTTTGAATGGATTCAAAGCAGGGGTTAAATAGCTTTTTGTTTAGGTTCAAGCAGTGATTCATTTGTGGATGTTAAAGTACGTCAATTACAGGGAGTGAAGTAAATTGCAAAGCACTGGCAAGTGGTTTCAGCCTCTCAGATCATGTCAGCATTGCAGCAGTAAACATAAAAAGCATTACAGGTTTTTCTGTAATGTAACAGTGCATTTTTTCTAGCTACATCCAAAAAAACTTCATGATGTTGATTATGAAATCACTTATTTGCAAACTTATGGATCTGTTGCCTGAATATAGTAAGGTGGATCTTGGTGCCCATACATATTTATATATTCATTTCAATTCCTGGTACAACCAAATGCCTGTACCAATATGCAGCATTGCATAACAATGTAACACAAACCCAGTTTCATTTGTAAAAGCCAGTGTGTAGGAAGGAGGAGGAGAGAATGCAATGACTTTGTAATGACCTTTCTGGATAAATGGACTCTTTTGCTGTTTTCTAGGCATTGGACACGTCATGGTTTTCTTTAGAGGTGAACATCCACAGAAAGACAAAAGATGCTGACTGAAATGAGCAGCTCAACAAACCGTTACAAATACCAACAAGAGAGCTTGCTCATTCACTTCCCCAGTTTCTGAGGATTAGTGTGTGGAGAGACAAGTGTGTGTCTGTTTGTGTGTCAGTGGGGGATGCCTGTGGTCTCTGACACTGCTGGAAACCTTCTGTAGTTTTTGACAAGTGTGTTGTGTGTGTGTGTGTGTGTGTGTGTGTGTGTATGGTTCAGATCCTTCTCATCTCATTTGCCCCTGGTATGAGATGAATAACTAACCCCCTCTCCCCCACCTCTGCCCTCCTCTCTGGTATGAATTGCCAGGCTGATATCTCACTCTCTAGAGGGGCTGGAGGGCAATGGAGCTGACAACACAATGGCATTGTCTCTGCTGATGAGGAGCCAAAGTCTTAGGGGAAACACTTCCCATACCAGCCTCAGAAAAAGTGGGTAGAGCGAGTGCATCTGTGCTCGTTTGTGGGGTAAATAGTGTCTGTGTGTGGGATTTGAACATTTGTGCGTGGTGGAGTGGTGCTACGGAGCAGTGCTGAGTGTCATTGAGGTGCGAGGGGGTTGAGAGGAGAAGGAGGAGAGAGCTGTGCCAACACACTGAGAGGCCACTCAATTATTTAGAAGACCCGCCGGGTTCAAAGAGTCACAGCTAACACCTGCCAATCCACCACCTTCACAGCTTATCTGCTGCTGTTTTGATCCAGTGGTCTTAAAAGTACACATATAGAACTCACATTATTATTATTGTTGTCAACAATGATGAGAAAAACGCAGAGTTACAAAAATTCTGATTATACATGATATTTGCCTGCTCCTCTCTCGCCATTACGGCAGTGGATATAAAAGATATCTGAGCATTTCTTTTAAAGTTGCTTACAACCCCACTTGGTTTCCTCTTCTGTCTAATCACCCAAACACCCCCATGTTCAGACAGTGACCTCTGTCTTGCTGTTGGTGGGCAGTCCCTTGTGTTTGGGGTGCATGTGCGGCGAGTGGCCGTAGCCCAGCGGCTGCGAGAAGAGCTCAGGCAGCGTCTCGATGCTGAACTGCCTCTTGTTGGAGTAGGCCTGGCGCCGGCTGTTATGCTGGTGCAGCGGCTGGTGCTGCTGCTGCTGGATGGAGTGGTGCTGCTGCCCTTGGAGGCCAATGTGGGAAGCCACTGGGTGCTGCATGTGGCTCTTACTGGGGTCCCAAGCTTTGAATGCCGAGCTGGAGGTGAGTGGATGGGTGTTGGTCTTGGAGATCTTAGGCTTGGGGATCTGGGAGGCGTTGATGGTGATGGCCAGTGGCGCGTGGATGTCGGGTGGCGGGAGAAAGGGCTTGTCCTTGGGGTGGAAGTTGATTGGCTGGAAAGTGGGAGGGGACTGGCGGTGTGTATAATCTACCATTGGGTAGCTCTTGTAGTAGTCTCTTGCAGCCGTGTCTGGACGATGGGAGAGACAGAGGAGGCAGAGAAATAAAGGCAGAGACATGGTTAAATTAAGATGATGAAAAGTTAAGACAATCAGTGTTAAGAGTAGTCAGTGTGTGTATTAAGCTGACAATGCTGTAATTGTAGTATAAAAAAAGATAAGCAGCAGTATTATTCAGGGCAAAATAGCATATTCACATTAAAAAATTAAACTGTTATTGAAGTTCCCCTCACACCTATATCTTCAATTTGACCCTATAGACTAGCTCATGTGGTTAAATACAATATACCTACATGCACATTCCAGGCAAATCTGTAAAACTGTGGCTGCTGTACAGCATGTGTGAGTGTTTGTACTACATTTATGTGTTTGAGCTTTGAACTGTCTGTGAACTGACCATGGAGTTAAAAATACCAACAGCACCAGAGAAAAACAAATAGAGAGAGAGAGAGATAGAGAGGGAGAGAGAGAGGCTGAGAATAAAGAAAATACAGGAAAATGCAGTAAGAGGGAGTGCAGGGCAAAACAGGATTTTTGTAGGGAGTAAAAATAGAGTGGGTTCAGTGTGTCGAGTCAGATTAACGCGAGCCCTCAGAGTGGAACTTGACTCGGCTGTTCAGTCATCACCACTACACCCCCACTCACCCCCATCACACACACATACTCTGGCCTAAAGACACCAACAACCTTGTTTGCTTTGCCCTGTTTTATTTGCCCCCTTTTCCTGGAGAGGAATAAGAGACTGAGAATAAAAAAAATGCTTTGTAGTCTTTTTCCTTCATTCTATTGCTCTGAATTTGTCTTGCTCTTAGACTTGGTATCGTTCAATATCTTAACATCAGTCTTCATCTGTCTCTGAGCAGTTTGAGGTTCCTTTGAAACAACATCAAAGAGAACCTGTCATGGTCATTTCACATCTCCACCCTGGTTAAGAAAGCACAGAAACTAAGGGAACTTAAAGTAAAACTCCTGTGTCAAGTTCTTGTTAACTTAGACAGAGGAGTGATAGAAAGCATCCTGACTTGGAACATCACAAACTGGCATCAGATGTGTTTTGCCCAGGACAAGAGGACTTGTTGAAGTCTGTTTTAGTGGCATAAAGGGGACGGCATTCTGAATTTCAGAATCCTTCACATCCTTAAATCTCATAACATACCAGGTTACAGCTGCTGTCAACTTGTATGTTTTTTTTTATTTTGTTCGTGTCTGATCTTATCATCATTACACTCCAAACAGGAACATCATTACAAGATTATGTCGATATTCTGGTTAGAAGACAAATGACCAGTTGACTTTAATTTGTTGTAATGAACGTCAATGTATGTTGCTGGCTATTAGTGGGTGTTAATAAATGCATGTGAGATGAAGAGAACTGTACACTGTGCTCACAGGGATTTCAAGGTCTTCTGAAACATTAATGCAACTTAAAAAGACATCATCTAAAAGCATAGTTGGGTTGCTCTATGTACCGCATGAGCTGCTTGTAGTTTAAGGAAAATAGAGCCTTGCGTGTTAACATCATTGATTGATCTTTGGGCAACATTCAGTTAAAACACTCCAAACAGAAGTCATCCTTTGGCTGGCTGAATTCAGATTCCAGATTTACAGCTTTATCTACTGTACAGAGTTAGGAATACAGAGTTTAGCCGAGGCCTGTTTTTTTTTCTCTATAGCTATTACTGTTGATTCATTTCTAATCATTTGTTCACGACAAGATTACTGAGAACATTTATATTTTCAGGAAACACCTAGAGGAGAACATTCACACATGTTAGGAAACTGTCCAGTGTTATCACAGTCTGGTAATTGCTTATTGAACACTTCAAATGTGGGTCCATTGTGTAACTCCAGGGTACTTCAACAGCAGCATTCTCGGTAAAATTGTCCAAGCTGGTCTAAAGATTTGAATACTATCCTGCTTTTCTCCACACCCAGTGTCACTACAACCATCTCAACTGCTTACTGACAGGCTGCTGTGTGTCTGTGTGTGGTCTTGTTTTTCTCAAAAGCCAACTGGATTTGTTCCCTCATAACATGACAAAGCCACCTAAATGTAAGTATAACAATATAAAAATTAAAAAATATTAATATTGATAAATGTATTGATATACTAATTGGTTTATTAATGAAATAATTGAACTATTTGCACTGCCAGGACCAACAAATCAATTTTTTTGATGAGGTGTAGGACCTGGCTATGCAGATCTATTACTAACTAACAAGATGGTGCAAGAGAGATGTTGAAATGTATTTTGCATCCAATGAATTTACATCACAGAGGGAATGCTGCTGAGGTGTTTTCATGAAATCAAATCCAGTGTTTGATAGTATTTATGGCTGAGATTTTTCTGCAATAGCCATTTAATGTCTAGTGTTTAAAATTTAGGGGGATCTAATATTCATAACTTTGTTTTCATTATTTATTATTTCATTATTCCTTTGACCTTAGAATGAGCTGTATTTAATCTACAGAGGCTGTGGGTTGCCTTCCATTGATGCTGTCATGTTGCCATATTTCTGCAGTAGCCCAGAACGGACAAACACTGGATCTGGATAAGGATGTTCATGTTTTTCACCACTGTAATTTCTCTTTTGTGCTTCAAAGGGGAGAATGAAGTGAGGGAGTTTCAATCTGCAATTATGCCGCTAGGTGACACTAAATACTGCACACCGGTCCTTTAAATAATTTAATATTCAGTTGACACTCATAGAGTGTCACACAGCTTTACAGCCAATTGTTAGGTCACTCTTTAAACTGAGAGGCTACAACAAGTAGGGGCCCTGGGTTAACCAATCCTTGCTGCAGCAGCCATGGATTCGAATCCGACCCGTGACCCTTTGCTGTGTGTCACCCCTATTTCTCTCCCTTTCCATCCCTCCCTGTCTATCTTCATTCGTCCTATCCAATAAATGGCAAAAAGCCCCCAAAAATATTTTTATAAAACTACTAACCCTTCAGACAGTATGTCCTGCAGACTTGTGGAGAGGGATTTAAGAGACAGGAAAATAACTAAATTAAAGTAATCACTTTAATTATTCAAAAAACAGAGACTTAGGAGGCATATTTTTTCCTTATAAAGCAATACTGTATCATGATATTGATGACTAAGAATGAGGAGAATGAACAGAAAAACAGCTTTGCTTTCATTTAAATTTTAAAGATGGGGATGAACGTGTTTAGGATTAGTATTTGTGTGTATGAGTGCACATATTAATGTGTGTGTATTTGTGTGTGTGGGTTCATGTATGTGCATGCAACTGTATGTGTGCCACGCATTTTGCAAGAAAGAACACATTTACATACATTCTTCACACGCTAAAAAGAGGATAAGCCGCTTGATGTGTACGTGTCTGTGCGGAAAAGGGCATTGCATGGGTTTGGCATCTTTCAGCAGCTGTATGTTTGTCGCAATGAAGTGAAAAACGCACTTTGGACGTCAGCAGTATTGCTACAGATAGACAGACAACTGTTTTATTGTTTATCAGTTTTTGTAGGAACTACCATTTATTTATTGTGGACACTGTATATCTCCTTTCAGTGTAATACACTGCATCTGAAGCTTCAGCAACTCAAAGAAATGGTCAGAATCTCTGGACAGATCGGGAAAATCTGGGACGGCACAGAAACAATGAATTAAACACACTCTTCCTTCCCACAACAACTGCTGTTGCTGTCCTTTTGAATGTTTCCACACATGTTGCCAGCAGCAGCACCTGACAGCAGGGTCCTCTGTGACAGTATTAGGTGCCTTCCTCTCCATTTCACAAACTCTCCATCTGTTCAGTCTTTATCTCTCTCTCTCTCTTGTTTTCCATTCTTTCCATCTGTATTTTATATATTTCGTACTCTTCAACAACATCAGCTTTTGCTCTCTATCCAGCAGCAGCCTAAAGCTGGGCCACCGCATTATAGCTGCATAAGCTTGGCCCTCCAAAGGGTAACAGAGTTTGACAACATACTGTATGCTATTTGGTCTATTTTTAATACCATTTAATTGTGTTAGAGCAATGAGAAAACCTGCTCAGTATACTGTCTATAAACATGTGTGAATGATTAGCATAAGACCTAAAAGACAATGTAGCTAAAACCTAAAAGACAAATAGCATAAGACCTAAAATACAATGTAAACAATGTATACACCCTGATGGTTTTTTGGCAAGTAGTAAATCATTAATATTATAACTACCTTTGTGTACACACTTCATTATAAATAAATAAAAAATAGATAAAATTTTGCAACCCCCAGTTATAATTTCACAAGCGTTTTGTGAAGTCTCAGGAGACTCTCAGGGTGATTTTAGTTGTGGACAACATAACTAGCCACATTAAATACAGTACATATGTTGATCTTCATCATTAACCTCTTAAATTCTGATTTAGCCCTTATATTCCCTCTTTTCCACATTTCCATGACTCCTTTCGTCACAGGCATATGATGACTTACAGTGAATGAAATATTTAAACCCCTGATGGCATGTTCTTAGAACTGCACCATTACCTCAAATAGAAATATTCAGACTGACATATTTGGTACTAAACTTTGAGTTCTCCATTGGAATTTAAAATAGTTTTCTGTAGGTTCTGAGCAATGCTTGGCGCACATTACACATCTTTAAAGTATGGAACTGTGGGAAGGTCCAGCAGAGTTTAATAGGTTGAAATACAAACTTTGCAAGACAACAATTCCCTGCAGCAGCGCATAACACCCTGCAAGACAACTGCAAGACGACTCACAAGTAGAGTACAATTCTTCCACCAAAAAAAAATAAAAAATACTGGTGAATAAAATATCAAGAACCCCTTCCTCATTAGTCCCCACAGGAACTCCATTGATCATTGCTTTTACAAGAAACCCATAAGTGCCAAATATAAAAAATAAAACTTTGAACCAGTGGGGTTCATCTTCAAAGCCATCTTTTGGGGAATTTAAAATCACTTCAATTCATGTGGTCATAAAAAATACCAGAAGGTGTTTCAACCAATATGTGACCTGAAGAACATTCTAAAAAA